TGCAGGGGGGAGCGCAGGGCGCCCGCACCGGCCCCGGCGTACTCCGAGCGCTTGCTCCCCTCTGAAGCACCTTCTCCCGGGCCACCTCCTGGGGACAGGGCGCTGATTTAGGGCCCGATCCGGCAGACCGCAGCGCATCCTTCCCTGGGGGGCCAGCACCTCCCGCCTCGCCCTTAGCAGCCTCTGCAGGACGCAGTGCCCCGCAGGTTTTAAGTACCTGGGCGAACCGGGTGCTGTGCTAAAAAGCATTTCTGCCGTGGTAATTTTTGGGAAAGGAGGCGGCTGGGGCTTCCGACGTCCAGCGGGGGAGCGCGGCGCGGGGCGGCTGAGGCCCACGGAGTGCTCACCGCTGCGGGCACCCTGGGTAGAGAGCAGCCGCTGTGCCTCCAGCTGCTGCCAGCAGCACCCGACCCTTCCCGGGGCACCGGCCACACCAGGAAGACGTTTGTTCGTGGCCCACAGCTGTGCTGCGGCGGAGCACGTGTAAAGTGTCGTGGAACGGCATAAATCTGAATTGCGTATTAGAAATCTTTGCCCTTCAGAAACACAGGGCAGATTTCCAGAGGGGCAGAATTCCCGTCTGCGGCTGGCAGTTCTGAACAGGCAGGACAGAGCCATTGGCTGTAATTGAAACACCTGAAAATTGGACATGTAAGTCATAGGTAATCACCTGGGGCAGTCTGAGCATCCAACTTTTACTCACGATCTCATGTGAGATGCACCTCCTCTGTGGTGCATCTGAATTATAGATAACTTTTCTCCTTACATAGAAAGCAAAAGCCAGTTTCTATCTGCAAGGTTTTTTGCGCATGGTTGGTTTTTTTTTTTTAATTTGTCTATTACTTCTGTGGAATTATAATTATCAGAATGCTTTTTTGGTGATTGACTCATACTTGATCTTTACAATCACTAAATTGTGGCAAAGAAGTTTACAAAGGGGGAGATGGGCTACGGGCCTCCCTGTCCTCCTTACGAAGTTTCAGGGTACACCACTTTGCCAGCAGGAACAATTTGCTCATAGCTGTGTGGCTGGAGAAAAAACATACTAGGCATCACTAGTGTCGAGAAAGTGTAGGTCAAATGTTGGGTACGCATCCCTCTCCACCCCCTGGGAGCAGGTGGTGGGGGCCTGGGCACCTCTGGTGCATGGAGCTGCTTTGCTTTGGAGTGGGAAAGCAACAGCTTTTGTGCTTACACCCCCTGCCAAGAGTGGGGCTGCCCAGACTGAGCCCTGCTATGATGGCTGCACCCAGATGCTGTGTCATCACCAAAGGGTTGAGCCATGTGAGTGGCACCAACGTTATCCTCCTTCAGGCATAAGAGAGTACAAAGTACTGAAGTATGACCTGAACAGCTGGGTTCTCAGTGGAGCCGCACCACTCTGGGCACGTGCCTGCCTTTTGTGGGGGTATTTCCATGGTTTCTGTGTGCTATCGGGACCTTGCTATGGTTCATAGAATCATAGAGTCATAGAATGGTTTGGGTTGGAAGGGACCTTTAAAGGTCATCTAGTCCAACCCTGCCTGCAATGAGCAGGGACATCTTCAACTAGATCAGGCTGCTCAGAGCCCCATCCAGCCTGACCTTGAATGTTTCCATTCTCTTTTAGTTTAAAACCACTGGGTTTTAATAACCTTGGGTTATTGCCCAAGGGACCATGGAAAACATGGTCCAGCTTCCCAAACACATTGCAGGGCACTGTATGCTCATTTTTGAGTGTTACGAGCATGGAGTGATTCAGTCTTTGCCCTCAGTGCAAACCAGAGTCTCCCGTCATGCTGAAAGTATTGGCCACATTTTAGCCTCCTGCCCTGGATAAGCCCAGCAGACTTGGGTGAGAGGTTCTCACTGTAACAAGGGAAGGGTTAAGAGCAACCCTGGGATAAGAGTTTGGGCTAGCTCTTCAGTGAAGACCTGCTTAGAAAAACACAGAACAGAAATATTCTCTTGCCAACATGGTTCTACCGCTGGTTTGCCCCTTAATTTTACATCCTCTTTGTTCCTGGACATGTAGGTCTGAACTCCAGAAGCCCCTTAACACATGCTTCTGCCTGTTGGCAGCAAGGATCCCAGATGGGGTGCTTGCCTGAATCAGGACTGAAGCTTGTGACATACTTTGAGATCCCTTAGAGTGAAATTCTTGTGGATATGTAGAATGGGCATATTTTTTGAGAAAGAACTTTTTTCCTCCTACAGGTGTACAAGTAGAGCTGGTTCACATTTTGCTTACCTAAAAATTAATGTCCTCAAAAACTGAGAGATAGTAATAAAAGTATAAGCACAGTTAAATACCAGGGAGCCCTTCCCTGTTAAAGCAGCTCATACACAGATGTGTAGGAGTGTAGTTAATATCATTACATATTTAAATGCTTCATGGAAGGCTGGGCTTATAGAGAAGGTTAATTTCTTCTGACAATGAATCTTAGCAATAAGCCAATAGATATGATGGATTTAGTCATGAGATTAAGGCTCTCAGACCATGCCCATATTGACAAATTTGTCTTAATTTTTTCCTTCAACTTTTTTCTTGGAGTTCTATGACACTGTATAATGTAACAATATATATTCATATTCCTCCATGCATTTTAATTTGTGTTTGTTCCAACTTCTTGTACCTTGTATCTCTAAGCTTTAAGAACTTACAAAAAAATCTCAGACATGATTTGTTTGCATTCATTGGAAATAATGAGAAGAATGAATATACATGAGTATCAGTAAGAGTGGTCTTATTAAGCAACTCCAATTCATTTCTTTATCAAAGCTGTTCATTCACTCCTTGCCACATGCAAAAGCCACGAGCAAGAGCAGATATTATGTAGTTTTGTCACTGGACAGTAGCTTTGCGCTTAGAGTTGATATACAAAAACAATTGAAAAATATTGATTGTTTTGGATAAAAAAAAGGTTTTTAAACAAAAAAAAAAAAGGAGGCATTTTCCTTTCACTTAAAATTTCCTAGGTTTTGAAGGCATGCCTGAAAGACAAACGTGGACACTTTTGATGGAACATTTTTCATTTTCAACCAATTTCCTCCCCCTCTCACCGACAAAGGAAAATGTGAGTTTTGATTTTCCACAAAGTGCATGTCACAAGAAATTTCTCATGAAAAATCACAACAGCTCTTTTCAGCTGACTTTCTTGATATGTGAGACACTTCTCCCTGCGAATCCTTGGTGATGACAATGACATTCAAAGTGGGAGAAGAGTCTTCCCAGGGTCAGAAAACATTGTGAGCAACAAATTTTTTCAACTTTGTCTCCCCTTTGATAAGGTACATTTATATAGCAGCTGCACAGTTATGTGATATTGTAAATATATTTAGGTCATATATTTAAGAACTTAAATACGTTTAAGTTTAAAATATGTTTATGTTATTTGAAATATTTGTATTTATATATCTTGGAATTAGCTCTTATATTAATGGATACACTCTTACAACGTTCAAAGAAGAGAGAGCCATTGCATTTCTTCTTTCTGGAAAGCAGAGTGAAATACAGTGTATTATGAGAGCCCCAAGCAAACCAGCTTTGCCCTTGGCCCAGCACAGGCTTGCAGACAATAAAATGGAAATAAAAATGGGCACAGCAGCACCTATCCCTCAGCCTGTCAGCTGGCATCAGTCTCTCTCTGGCATCAATGCATTAGGCAAAGGTAAGAGAAACAAATCCTGCACACAGTAAGCCTTAGCTGACACCATGAGTTTTCCCACGGAAGGGGAGTTTTACAAAACACCTCTGAGTCAGCTGGCATTTAAACATTGCTAAATACAAAGCAGTTGAATTTTACGTGGGGTAAGACAAACCACGTCTCACTCTGTTTGTATTAATAAGAGATGTGTCCCGGGCACATTCTCCTGCTGCTGGAGGCTGGAAAGCCAGTAAATGAGAGCTGCTGCAGCGTGACTGCAGGTAAAAAGATTAATGTGTGCAAAGCTTTGGTCATTGCTGTCTACTGCTCCTACCTCATTCCCAGTGTCAGTGACACTCCTTTGATTTATAGTGGTCAAAGGGCAAAAATGAAGCATTGGCAGTGGGAGGTAAAAGGTAAGGAGAAGAGAGGAGAAGGGGGAGCTCAAGCCCTAGCAGAAATTGGGCGCTCCCATTTTGGAGGCCCCCAACACAGCTGCGTCCCAGGACTGAGGTCTCTCCCCCATAGCAGCTCTTGGTGCTGGGCTCGGGTGTTGCCCGAACAGCAGGAGCAGCCCGGATCAGAGGGTGGTTCGTGCCCACTGTGACATACTGAGTGGTGCCACTGGGTGTCCTGTTTGCTGCATTTGGGTGACGTATAGCAGCCACAAAGTGGAAATGAACAGTTTCAAACCAGCTGTCTCCAGTGGGGGAATTTCAGGCCCTTCGACATGAAATCGGTGAGGGTCATGATTCACCCTCTGGTTCATACAACAGAAGATATATGCACACCTGCACATCTTCAGGCAGAATTTGAAGACTCAGGGCTTGAGCAATGTACGGCAAAGATTTTGGTAGAGGCAGACCCGCATCACTTCTATGTCCTCTTTTAGCCTCTCCCACCACTGCCAGACTGCTTAGCATCCTTTCCCACCCCCGTAATTCCGGGTTGTTTACTTCATTAAACAGCTTAGCATCTTAGTCAGAAAACATCTTCCTCCTAAAATCAATCCAGCTTTTTCACAATTGTCATCAGTGGCCTTTATTTTTTAGTAGAATTATTTTGGAAACCCCAGGTGCACTACTTTCCACGTTGAAGAACCATCATGGATCTCAACAGGGCTGTGTAATTTACATCACAGTGATTCATGTCAACATATGGGGAGCCTTATTAGAACAAAGAGCAGAAGAAAAGTGATGAAATAACACAATGAGAGCAAGAGATGAAAGGGAGGACAAATGCAACATGCGTTACACCAGGCAGTGCCGATGGAGAAGGTGCAAACCATGGCAAGCTCCTTTCCCCTCTTATGCCCTTTTGTCCCTGCAGTATATCTGAGCCTACACTAACTCCTTTTTCCATACACCTCTGACATGCCTAAAAAAATCCAACCTGAGTTTGGTACCTAACATATTTAAGTGTGTGTTAAAATATTGAGATTGAATATTTTGATTTAAAAAGACTGATCTATTTAACATGATGTCTGAGGGATCGAATACATTGAATAATGTATAAAAGGATGGGGAAGAGTCAGAGTTTTCACAGTAAAATACAGCTATGACGCTGCAGAGGAAATAAATGAGTTAACTCCCAGAACAACTCTGCTTGATCCAGAAAGGGATCCTTTGAATTCTGAATTGAAATCCTTTGTGAATGAATGTATGTTACGTGTGAAAATAAACTTTGCACTCAGTAGAAGGTTCTTACTGTTGCTTCTGTCGTGTATAAGTTGGATAAACGTTCCCACAGTCTTCCCCTGTAACCACAGTCATAGCTTGCAGTTGTAAAACTGCATCCCTCAGTGCTTGCAAAACCCTTTACAAACCAACCAAGCTCATACACGGTCACTTCACCCAACACAGGGATGGGTCAGGGCGCTTCTTTAAGAACTTTATGCATTTATAGGCAGCATTACTGCAGTCCCCCTCGCTCATCACCATATTTATCCACAGAGTTTTCCTCTGGGGAAGTACCGTTAGCCTAGTCTCGTAT